CAATGATTACTTAGAAATATTTTAAACTTATTACAACATAAAAATATATTATTTTCTAAATGAACAAATACCGCAAAATATTAAATTAAAAAATAATAACACTAAAGATCATGTTTTTTAGTAACGTATAAATACATTCATAATACATTCTAATGCATTCATAAACCATTATAAACATGGCTATAAGCTGGGATGGACATAACTGGTGCCCAAGTACGCATTCACCTTTAAAATATTCACCTTTAATATTGCGCCGATATGACAAGAAATTATCGTGCATTTTAACCTTTATATGATAAGTCGTACTTCATTTGCGGTATAGAGGTTAAAATGCACTGTAATTTCTTGTCATATCGGCGCAAATGCACATAAAATACGTACGTATTTGCGCTGTTACAACAACAGATTGCCGCACATATCGCTTTTAAAGGTGAATGCGTACTTGGGCACAAGTTATGTCAATCCCTGCTTATGAAGCTCTCATTTATATTGCACTATTATTTGTTATTAATGTGTCTATAAATTACTAAAAACATGGCCTTAAGTAAAGTGTTACCAAAATAATGTTCATAGAATTATAAATTCGTGTGTTTGTGATGTGTAATATTTTGATATGTTATATTCAATAAAATTAGCGTAGAATCATGTAGCAGGAATAAAATAAAAAATTGACAAAAAAAATATGTAAATTGACTAAAAACTGTGAAAACCTAAACCAATCGTTTTATTTTATTACAGTTTTGAGTATTCACAACCCAAAATAAAAAGGCATAAATGTCAAACAGCTAAAATGAACACACAGCTATGTCATGGCAGATATGTCTTACAAACTTCCATCACTAAAAAGACGTATTTTCCAGGATGAGCAGCAGAACGGTTAAAAGGATTTCTAAATATAAGCTGCTGAATAATTTAATGTCACACAAAAACACTATATATAGACATAAAACTTGTTCTTATTCACAGATATTCATCAGAGGCCCCGGACTTCTGCAAAGACATGGCTTCTTAGATTGGCATTAGGAAGGGTGACTGCTTGCAAAGTTTAGAAACTGTGTCCATTCTTACTGAAGCAATTAGCATTTTTTGAGTAAATTTCCTCAGATTCTGCATCCACACACAAATGTGAAACCAATGCTGTCTTCTCAGAGAAATTATCTGTGGTCCTTGACAATTATTTGCATTAGTCACTGGTATCAGGATTGATGATTATTAGACAAATTCCGATTTCCCAATAAACATAAAATAGCACTGGCAGTAGCTGTAAGCTAGGAATTTGGCGTCCAGTGCCAGATGAACATATCATCTTGTGATCTGCCTTTAGACATTTATTTATTTTTTTCTACATTTTTAATTAAATTGCAACGGCTGCTGGGTGTCGAAACGCGGCCTCTGGCTTAGAAATAACCGGCACAGATCATCGATAGGTGAGGAACCGTCATGGGTTCGGTAGCCAGCTTCGGCCAGTGTGCTGGAGCAGGAGGAGACGGGAGACGCAGGCCGAGGGTGACGGACGAGAGGCAGCTTTTAACGAGGACATTGGACAGCGTGTGACTCAGCCCTGAAATAACTACGCGTGCGACGCAGGGATGTTCAGAACACCACTGTCTTTGATGTGGCTTTTTTTTTCTGGACTCAATGTAAACAACATCTCAAAACTTACAACTGCGAAAGAATGCAACACAGGAACCTCCAAATTGTATAGCATAACCTTTGGAACCAAGCATCCTCAGTTTAAGAAAAACAATCCAACAAAACCAATGGATGAGTTGACTTTCAAAGCATGACATTTTTTGCATGCAACCTCCTATTCTTCAGGAATTTTCTTCTAATGAGCCCCCCCCCCACCCACCCATCCCATTCACACTCATCCCCCCAAGGAAAAGTAGCATGGTTGTTATAAAAACACTTTGCCGTCTTGACGGATATCACACAGCAGCTTGTCCCTTACCATCATTTATTCATCACCTTTTTATGAAAAAGAATTCCTCGACCTCCCCCCTCAGCCGCCCCCAACCCATCACGCGATGCAATGCCTTTAGTGTAAAATCAAACAGCCATGGTTAAGAAAGCAAACAGACTAAGTGCCGTGCCCAGTATCAGCTCCCTCTGATACAGGCCTGCGCGAATCTCCTACAAGCTATTGCGAAATGTCCGGACAGCACCTCACGGTATAAAACGTGAAAGAAGGTCCGCTGCTGCTGTAGGGCTGCCTCGCTCAGCCATCTCCTCAGTGCTCTCCTCAGCACGAGCCAGGGGCAGCTTTCATTTCACAATATCTGTCTGTTTCCAATAAGTGCTAATCCAGCTCAGGGTCTTGGGGATTCAGAGCATGTCACAGGAAGCAGAGGGTGTTAAGCAGGTTATAGGGGATGCACAAATGTGCTTACAGTCACCAATTCACCTGAAATGCCTCAAGCGTGGAGTCACCTGAACTTGATGGGCAGAAGACATAGACCACCATGAGGAATGAACCAACAGGAGTGATGGACCATTGACTTCTAACTCCTGGCCACTAACCCCTTCACTGGAGGAAGACATTGGCCACTAACCCCTTCACTAGAGGAAGACATTGGCCACTAACCCCTTCACTGGAGGAAGACATTGGCCACTAACCCCTTCACTGGAGGAAGACATTGGCTACTAACCCCTTCACTGGAGGAAGACATTGGCCACTAACTCCTTCACTGGAGGAAGACATTGGGCAGTAACTCTTTCACTGGAGAAAGACATCAAGCACTAACTCCTTTACTGGAGGATGACATCGGCCGCTAACTCCTGGACTTAATACAAACAGCTGAAAACCACAGGATCGATAAAATAGTGAAGAAAGCCACAGTCAGCACATCGTTCCCACTGAGAGTCAGGCCATTCATAGGCTAGTGCACCTCGACCCTCTGCTCTGATCAGACCACAAACCCTCAAGTGAATGAAGAGAATGGAGACAATGAGACACCACATGATAAAATACCAGCAAGGCCACCTTATTTGAGCAAACCTCCTGTTTAAGGCCAGAGGACTGTCCTGCACTTAAGGCACTTCATAAATCATTTAAATTGGTCAGGATCTCTTTGACAGAAAGTATCCTACAGATGAGAAAGGATCTGAAAACAAATATGATGAGAAAGGAACTCATTGCCTGTTACCACCAATAACAACCCTATTAGTGGGTACAATAATGTCGTATACCCTGGAGAGAAGTGAATAAAATGATTCACACTCATTCCATCCAAGGTGTGCCCTGTTTTATGACCTGTGCATCTTTCGATAGGCTCCAGGATTAATAGAACCCTGTACTGGGCAAGTGGTAATGGTAGGATAATGGATGGAAGGATGGATGGATGGATGGACAGACGAATGGAGGCACCTGCATCCTCTGAAGCCGGTGATCTCTGTACGTTCCTGCCATCTCCCAATGTTTGTGTGGCAAAGAAACAAGGCAGAGTTCTGTTTCCACACTTTAGTGCTAGAGACAGAGTGATGGAGATGGCAAAGCTGATTGGCTGATGGTGATGAGGGTTGCATGTGATTGGCTACCAGTAAGGAAATAACGCAGTGGTACCAATTATTATACAGCTGAGTCTCTGTCCCGCGTAGCTGTGCCTTTCCCTCTGATCTGGAAGAATACACACACACACACACACACGCACACACACCACCGCAGCCGCTCGCTGCTGCAGCCACACGCCGGTAAATAAGCCACACGTGTGATTCAGCATTTTTTTTCTGCCCCTGTCTGAAACTGGCTGCAACAGGGGAAGATTTAAAAAAACAGACTGTTTTTGAGATAGATGTTTGTCAATATGCTACACATCCATCCACTAGCCACCCCTTATCCATCTAGGGTCACGGAGAAGCAGAGCCCGCCTTGAGGCTTGCCAAAATACCTAAGCAGACAGGCCAATCGTAGTCCTCGATCAGCCCAGCAGCACGACAGCGTGTGGAAATCAGGGCGCCCTGCCGGAAAGCCGTGGGGGCATGCAGGGAACCTGCGGACCCGGCAGGATTCAAACCCCCCGCCCCGGAGTTTGGAGAGAGCAGACTGCGCCTGCTGCGACTGCCCACCCACGGCGTTTCCGGAGCGCGGCGTTTTGTGGAAAAAATTAGGCCCGAGCGGGAAACTGAAACGGAAACGTCCCAGTACCTTAATTTGAGACAAAAACACGGAATTAGGGGAAACGGGAAAGTAAGATCGCTGGGATATTCATGCTAGGCTGGCTATGCCTGAGTGGATGGCAGCAGCCTCCAGCTGCGATTCTTATCTCTCAATCTTTTCGCAAGACACATCGGCTGTTTGTTTCCAGCCCATAATTTACAGCACACGGCCATGTTGTCTTTGGCATTGGCGTTCCCAAACTTCCTTTATAGCCCACTTTCTTCTGCTTTCATGGCTTTCCAGCGAGTGGTTCCCTGCCATCACTCCTGTCCCCTGCAGCCTCGGCCCTTGTTTGCCTTCCGGAAGCTTCTCGTCTGAAGAGCGCTCGCCCCCCTGGCGTCGAACTCCCCACGCTTATCTTTGCGTACAGGCGTGAAGACAAGGGGCGGCCTTGCTGGCATACAGGATCGCTTATCCAGGGCCCGGGAGCGAGGAGATCTGATTAGCGGAGAGCGCGTGATCGCTCGCCTCTGCGCACCTCGCATTCTGCACAACAGCCAGGTCACTCCTCACGCACACAGAGTCGTTTCAACTCAGGTGGGCGGGCCATGACTTCAGAATGAAAAAGATGGTTATTTCGAAGAGCTTTCGCTTTTACTCTCTGTAAGCTCTGTCCTATTGTTGCCCCTAAGGAAAGGTTTTTACTCTTCTGTGTAAAATTCATTGTGCGAGTCTTTGTTGAAAACCCCCCCACCAAAAAAAAAAAAAACGTTACAGTGACTTTTTATCGCTGTAGACATTAACGGAGGTGAGAAACACACCAGCCGTTTGGCACAAAAGTCACGCGCCTCCTTTCGCTTAAATGCGATGTTCGACGCGGCGCTCCCCCGAGAGAGCTACTCACTGCTTTGGACGTTAATGGTGCTTGTTGTGTTTTCCTTCCCCAGCAAGTTCTCCGCCACACATGTGTAATTCCCAGCATCCTCCAGCTTCACTCTATTGATCTGGACCCTGGAGTTTTTCCTGTGGAGAGACGGGGACAATCCCGGATCAAAATATCACCCTATGCTTCCTCTTCCTCAAACAAAAGAAAAAATACATTCAAATAATTGCTCGGATTCAAATAGGACCGTAAGACTTAATATCAGAAAACATGATACCTCTGTAATGTGATTCTTACTCCTTAAAACATAATTATACCTCATACAGTGAAACACACAGGAATTACAGAGAAATATTAACGCTATAAAAATGCTACCTTCACATGCTTCTAAAACATAAAACTGCCCCCTTTTCAGGTTGCTTTTGGCTTTGCCCCAATGATCACAATGTTATAATCAAGATGAAACGGATGTTGCATCTGCCAGGGAAGTGTGGTGTAATTAACTTAAATGAATCGAGTACCAGTATAATTAACCCATTCAAACAATACGGGCTAGAGCTGCCACCTGTCCCTTATAACAAGGGACAATCCCTTGATGGGGCAGGACGATGATGGCAACCCTTATATGGGCTGATATGGTAAAATGCTGCTTCTCACTTGCTGGACTTTATTTTGATTTCCTTGCTCTTCTTAAGTTCGCTGCCATCCTTGTACCACGTGTAGGCTGGCCCGGGGTTCCCAGTGGCCTCACACTTCAGGGCCAGCCTGTCGCCTTCCTCCAGTAGCTGGTTCCTCAGTCGTTTTAACCTCGGTGCGGAGGCTGGAGAGAGAGCGGGAGGGGATTTAGAGGGCAGGATGAGCACAGAAACACAAGCTGTTCGTCACGTCTTTCTGTTCGGGACCTGCTGGTAACAGCCCGCGTTGCCCGCGGACTTACATACGCTCCGCCCCCCAGTATGGAGAAGAGTATGCCCCCCAACCAGTAAAACCAGCCACTGGGTTTTCATCTGTCACCTCCACAGGATTCAACGTTTTGGGACGATCTTTGGAATCTCAGACCATCACCAGTCTGATCCCAGACCACCATTAGTGGTCGACTTGCAGTCAAGTATACAAAAAAGAAAAGAATGCTGAACTAGGGGACACAACTCTAAATCTTTTTGTACTTGAGAGTTTATATTATTACATGCCTACTGTCTTCCTCGCATGTGATACATCAAGGTGAAAAAAACACACAGACAATTTTTGCCCAGCTCTAAAACACTTCCATAGGATACATACACATACAGCGGAACCGGAGTCATCGCATAATGAAGAGGCGATTAACCCAGGATTTTCCAGTCAGGTCCTCGGGGTCCCACAAAAGGCCCATGTTTTTGCTCCCTCCCAGATCCCTGCTAGACAGTCCACGGTTTTGCTCCAGTAGGGAGCTGGACTGGCTGACCCTGGACTGGCTGCGAGTTCCTGAGGCTGGACTTTATTTTGATTTCCTTGCTCTTCTTAAGTTCGCTGCCATCCTTGTACCACGTGTAGGCTGGCCCGGGGTTCCCAGTGGCCTCACACTTCAGGGCCAGCCTGTCGGATGGCCAGCCGATTGGAAACACTGGATTAGTTTAACCCCTGCCAAGTTAATGATTAACTTCGTGCTGTAGTGGTTTCTTTTAAATCCTGATCATCCTTCTGTTCTTTTATAATGAACAAGAAGAAAAAGTGGTTGGGGGGGGGGGTGAACAGCAGGGGCAGAAGGAAACAACGGCAAGAAAAAAAACATTTTAATAAACACCCAGCGCGGGTGGCATGGTGGCCCAGTGGGCAGCGTTGCTGCCTCACGCCTCGGGGGCAGGGGCTCAGAATCCCGCCCCCTGTGTCTGTGGAGTTTGTGTGTTCTCCCCATGGTGCATGAGTTCCCAGAGCACGCTACTTTCTGCCCAAATCCATACAAAGGCTAAGCTAATTAGCATCCCTAAATTTCCCATGGCTTGTGATTGCGTGTCTGCCCTATAATGGACTGGAATCATGTCCAGGGCGTTCCCCTGTGTTGTGCCCAGCCTGGGATAGTCTCCAGTACCCCCACCTCCCCATGGCTGGAAGACAGATAGCTGGAAACACCCAGAACATGTGTATACAGGTGTCTCCTCCATGTACCTGTGTCCACGAAAACGACAAGGAAACATCATGGCTGTGGAGCAATCTGCAGAGTGAGAGACACAGGGCTGTATTCAACACACTTAAAAAAAGACGCATATCATCAAAAGTCCATTTTTTATTTGATCAGTAACCTAAATAATTCCAAGTGCATCTTAAAATGCCGTGTTCATATGATGGGTTTGATGGTTAAGTGACAAAAGCCATGCCTATTTTCCAGAAGACATGAAGTGTTTGCCATTGCAGTAGGTCATGGCAAGGTCTGTTTTTTGTAATGCAGTGCACCTTCGGTTTTGTGTAAATGTGAACATGATGATTTTCTTTACCATTGTCTTTTGAATTGGGATGGGGGGGGGGAAGGATCAGTGTCCCAAGAAGAAAAACTTCTCTGCCTGTATGAGTGTAGTGTGGAACAGAACACTTGATGATTATTCATCCACAAAAAAATGTTTTTGTAAGGCTGTACGACAGATTATAATCAAGAACCTTGAGTGAAGCTATGGATTGAACCCAAAACAACAAAGAAAATACAGTCATAAACAATAGGACATTGTAGAAAAGAAGGCCTTCATGTGGCAGGAATGGACCGGGTACAAGTTATGACTGACACTTTTCATTTAGCGGCGGAAACTCTTCTGCGGATGATTTTTTTGGGTTATAGCCTGATAAATGAATTTCAGGTTAGATTTACAGGATGACGTTGGAAAGGGGGACTATGTAGGCAAAGTGCAGACCTCAGCACTGTGGTGGGAACCTGGGGCCCAGTTAGCTCTAATGGTTTCAGGAGTGTGTCTATACTGGTCCATACTGATATACCCTGTCATGCAGGGGGCAGGTCCTGATTCTTCATTTTGTCACAGAGTCCTTGTTCCTTGGTGCTTCATAGAAACTGTGGCTAGGAATTCATTCTGTCTAAAAATAATAATTATTATAATAACAATAACAGGAATGTCGGTTATCCATCCATTTTTACTCTACCAAAATCCTGCCTTAATAAATATTAAACATATTAAACAAGAATTTTAAAAGGTTCTAATTAATTTTTCAGAATGAATTGAAGAAGTTACTCTTTGTGGAGGCTATGAAGGGTCTTAAACCAGAAGGAGAATTTTCAGAAAACATAACGAAATGGCAGAATATATCCGGTTTTCCATAACTGCTTCCCCAGAACCAATCCTGACCAGCCCAGAAAGTACAGGGCCCCCAGATGGGATACTATTTTACACAATACCATTTTACGATGGTTCTATGATTGCCATTCTTTTTTCTGTTCTTATTCATCGGATTCTTATTATTTTGACATTTCTTTCCACACAAAAAGGGAGTTTCGTGTAAAAATCGCCGGGAATGAAGAGGTGTCTAGGTCACACAAGATTCTCATCACAAGGTTCATCACATTGATTTTTTTCCTCAATAATATATTTTTTTTTCTGCAAGCATAGCCAAATTACTGACTGGCACCCAGGGGTAATTATAAAGTCTTCTTCAGAGCCGGTGGGATGTTCAGCTAACTGGTGCTTTAATTGCTCCGGAGAACGTGTGAATCTGAACGACATGGAGAAAGCAGACCTGTTTCTCACCATTTCATGGTGGCATTGATCACTGCTGTCATCTGCGTCAATTCTGCATACCTTTACAAGCATCACTTTCTGGTGACATTACCTGGTTAGTTAATGTTTCCCCTTCCGATTCAGTGGGAGATATTAACTGGACACCATTGCGTCCTCTGGTTAGGCTGGTATGAAAAGAAGGTCACTACATGAGAAATTTAGCCACCGGGCATCTAGAATTTAGCTACTGTAAATCCAGAACTCACTGTGTCTCCTACACTGATGATCCTGTTAGCACAAGACTCTCACTGAAGCTGGACAGCTGTGAGCTACTACAGAACCTCAGCAAGTGACTGATTGATTTATAAAGAAGCCATAACGGTAAGCGGCACACAGTCACTGGAGACACCAGTCAACAGCAATGAGAAAATCCAGAGCACTGGAAACCTGCAGCATAACGTCGGCGTACGCAGGCTGGTCTAACTGAAAATCCCACATCCGCTCAGCACGTCAGGCCTCAAATGCAGAATTTAATATTGCAGTCACTGGTGATCATCTTAAGTTTCGGAAAATTCCTACCTTCAAAACCAATTGATCTATTAAAATTATAGCTGTTATATGTATCTCCCCATTGACGTGTCCCCCTCACATTTCACAATTATTCGTTTGGACCCCTCCACATTTAGCATAAAAAAATAGTTTTATGCCAGTGTGTCCCTCCCACATTCAAAATGCTTCTGACGCCCCTGTATCCCCCACATATATACATATCTCTATAAGTATATATTATATGTTTATACATATAAATGTTATAAATTACAAAACTGATAAAGATTGCATTTATTTATTCCATAATTGCATGACGGCATGCCAGTGGAGATCTGCGCAATTATAATATTACCGCAGAATAATTAACAGACTTTATTATATGTCAATCATTCTCACAATTTGGGCGCTATTCCTGATAAATCTTTTGGTTGTCTCTGTTCTTCAGAATTGCTGCCTGCAGCTTTGTTCATTGATGTAAATTAACTGTTAAACCACAGAAAGCTTCGTCCAAATCGAATCCCGTGATTTCATTTGTTTATACAGAGCTATGTTTTGCTGGAGGAGCCAATGGGCAGTGCCGTTCTCATGGTAAAACAGCTGACTCCTGGGATTTTAACCGCCCTCGGGTCAGTATAACCAGATGAATAGGTTCAGCGCACTTGTTCTGCGAAATGCCTCAATGCACAAGCCCGAGTCACGCACATGGAGAAGTGTTACCAGATATTAAAGCATTCATGTGCAGAGGCATGCATGTACTGCACGCACTGATCCAGCAATGAAAGTTTTCTGTGGTGTGAAGCATCCATGCTAGCTTGAGTATGGCTTTGATGTGTTCATATCATATTAAATAACATGTTATTAACATTTTATTGACATATTATTATATTATTAAATAATCCTAAAAGGGATTTCTCACATGCGCGTGTCACTGAATTGTTGTTAAAGCTGATATTTCTAACCACTTGGGATCTACAAACATGTGATCAGAACTGACAGGCTTGGAACGGCGGTCTCATTTACTCTGTTACACTGCTTTCTCATCTCTTCTCCCCATGACACACACACACACGCTCACACACACGCTCTCACACACGCTGTAACGCGTCCTCGCCGCTACTCGCCTACAGCTGCCATTTCCCTCTGGTAATTACCCTGCACACTCATTTTCACTTCTTACAGTTTCTCTTACCCGCCGCTGTCGCATGAAACATGCAGGGGCCTTTTCCATTCTTGTTTCTGCTGTTGTTTTGCGTAATGCGACGATTTGAATTAAGAAAGATCTGTTCTGAAATAACAGCTAATTGTCCCAATTTGAGAAGGAATGACCCAGTTGCCTGCCCCAGTAAAGGTTTACTGTCTGTGCTACACAAGTCTGTTCCAGAAAAAGAGATTCATCTCTCAGTTATTCTTCAGGATGTCAAATATTCAGGAAGGACAACGGGTGCTCAGTGTTGCCACCGGTTACACTGCTCAATGTAAACATAGGATCTTTCTTACACCAGTGAGTGTGCAGTTAGACTAATGTCACTGTAAACCAATCATCCAGTCTTTCATTATATTGTACCTGATTAAGTGA